ACCACCATGAACACCCCAGGCCAGTGTGAACCACCATGAACCACCATGAACACCCCAGGCCAGTGTGAACCACCATGAACCACCATGAACACCCCAGGCCAGTGTGAACCACCATGAACCACCATGAACACCCCAGGCCAGTGTGAACCACCATGAACCACCATGAACACCCCAGGCCAGTGTGAACCACCATGAACCACCATGAACACCCCAGGCCAGTGTGAACCACCATGAACCACCATGAACACCCCAGGCCAGTGTGAACCACCATGAACCACCATGAACACCCCAGGCCAGTGTGAACCACCATGAACCACCATGAACACCCCAGGCCAGTGTGAACCACCATGAACCACCATGAACACCCCAGGCCAGTGTGAACCACCATGAACCACCATGACCCCAGGCCAGTGTGAACCACCACACCCCAGGCCAGTGTGAACCACCATGAACCACCCACCCCAGGCCAGTGTGAACCACCATGAACACCCCAGGCCAGTGTGAACCAACCACCATGAACACCCCAGGCCAGTGTGAACCACCATGAACCACCATGAACACCCCAGGCCAGTGTGAACCACCATGAACCACCATGAACACCCCAGGCCAGTGTGAACCACCATGAACCACCATGAACACCCCAGGCCAGTGTGAACCACCATGAACCACCATGAACACCCCAGGCCAGTGTGAACCACCATGAACCACCATGAACACCCCAGGCCAGTGTGAACCACCATGAACCACCATGAACACCCCAGGCCAGTGTGAACCACCATGAACCACCATGAACACCCCAGGCCAGTGTGAACCACCATGAACCACCATGAACACCCCAGGCCAGTGTGAACCACCATGAACCACCATGAACACCCCAGGCCAGTGTGAACCACCATGAACCACCATGAACACCCCAGGCCAGTGTGAACCACCATGAACCACCATGAACACCCCAGGCCAGTGTGAACCACCATGAACCACCATGAACACCCCAGGCCAGTGTGAACCACCATGAACCACCATGAACACCCCAGGCCAGTGTGAACCACCATGAACCACCATGAACACCCCAGGCCAGTGTGAACCACCATGAACCACCATGAACACCCCAGGCCAGTGTGAACCACCATGAACCACCATGAACACCCCAGGCCAGTGTGAACCACCATGAACCACCATGAACACCCCAGGCCAGTGTGAACCACCATGAACCACCATGAACACCCCAGGCCAGTGTGAACCACCATGAACCACCATGAACACCCCAGGCCAGTGTGAACCACCATGAACCACCATGAACACCCCAGGCCAGTGTGAACCACCATGAACCACCATGAACACCCCAGGCCAGTGTGAACCACCATGAACCACCATGAACACCCCAGGCCAGTGTGAACCACCATGAACCACCATGAACACCCCAGGCCAGTGTGAACCACCATGAACCACCATGAACACCCCAGGCCAGTGTGAACCACCATGAACACACCAGGCCAACACCCCATGCCAGTGTGAACCACCATGAACCACCATGAACACCCCAGGCCAGTGTGAACCACCATGAACCACCATGAACACCCCAGGCCAGTGTGAACCACCATGAACCACCATGAACACCCCAGGCCAGTGTGAACCCCACCATGAACCACCATGAACACCCCAGGCCAGTGTGAACCACCATGAACCACCATGAACACCCCAGGCCAGTGGAACCACCATGAACCACCATGAACACCCCAGGCCAGTGTGAACCACCATGAACCACCATGAACACCCCAGGCCAGTGTGAACCACCATGACACCCCAGGCCAGTGAACACCCCAGGCCAGTGTGAACCACCATGAACACCCCAGGCCACCCCAGGCCAGTGTGAACCACCATGAAACCATGCCAGTGTGAACCACCATGAACACCCCAGGCCAGTGTGAACCACCATGAACCACCATGAACACCCCAGGCCAGTGTGAACACCCCAGGCCAGTGTGAACCACCATGAACCACCATGAACACCCCAGGCCAGTGTGAACCACCATGAACCACCATGAACACCCCAGGCCAGTGTGAACCACCATGAACCACCAGTGAACACCCCATGCCAGTGTGAACCACCATGAACCACCATGAACACCCCAGGCCAGTGTGAACCACCATGAACCACCATGAACACCCCAGGCCAGTGTGAACCACCATGAACCACCATGAACACCCCAGGCCAGTGTGAACCACCATGAACCACCATGAACACCCCAGGCCAGTGTGAACCACCATGAACCACCATGAACACCCCAGGCCAGTGTGAACCACCATGAACCACCATGAACACCCCAGGCCAGTGTGAACCACCATGAACCACCATGAACACCCCAGGCCAGTGTGAACCACCATGAACCACCATGAACACCCCAGGCCAGTGTGAACCACCATGAACCACCATGAACACCCCAGGCCAGTGTGAACCACCATGAACCACCATGAACACCCCAGGCCAGTGTGAACCACCATGAACCACCATGAACACCCCAGGCCAGTGTGAACCACCATGAACCACCATGAACACCCCAGGCCAGTGTGAACCACCATGAACCACCATGAACACCCCAGGCCAGTGTGAACCACCATGAACCACCATGAACACCCCAGGCCAGTGTGAACCACCATGAACCACCATGAACACCCCAGGCCAGTGTGAACCACCATGAACCACCATGAACACCCCAGGCCAGTGTGAACCACCATGAACCACCATGAACACCCCAGGCCAGTGTGAACCACCATGAACCACCATGAACACCCCAGGCCAGTGTGAACCACCATGAACCACCATGAACACCCCAGGCCAGTGTGAACCACCATGAACCACCATGAACACCCCAGGCCAGTGTGAACCACCATGAACATCACCAAAACTACTAGTTAAAAACATCACTTCCCTATGACTATTTAAGACTACTAGTCTGTCTTATTGAGTTATCTTGAGATGATTTCGGGGCTTAGCGTCCCCGCGGCCCGGTTCTCGATCAGGCCTCCTGTTTGTTACACACCCCTAGGAAGCAGCCCGTAGCAGCTGTCTAACTCCCAGGTACCTATTTAGTGCTAGGTGAACAGGGACATCAGGGGTGAAAGAAGCTCTTCCCATTTGTTTCGCTTTGCAGGGGATCGACCTTTGGAATCTTAGGATTACGAATCCCGATCGCTGTCCACTCAGCCGCCAGGCCAGGGTTCCACAAGCACTGTCGCCTACACGTTCTAAACCTATACATCTCTCCTTGGTTACTGCTCCTTTGGTTTCATTTACTACTTAACGAGGTCCTGGGCGCTACGAGGCTCCTTATAACAATAATAATCTTGAAAATCGTTAACTGTTTAATGAGTGTAAACAAGGTCGCCTTGATTACAGAAAGATGGAGAGGTTTCGTCAGTGGTTGTGTCAATGTTGGCAGACTGCTAGCCATTGTTAACGCCCCAATTTATCTTGGCTGCATAGTTCATGCTCTCATTCATAGCAGACAAGAGCATTAACAGGACCCGGATTCACGAAGCAGTTACGCAAGCACTTACTAACGTGTACATCTTTCCTCAGTGTTTGACGGCTTTGGTTACATTTATTAAACAGTTTACAAGCATGAAAACTTCCCAATCAACTGTTGTTATTGTTACAAACAGCCTCCTGGTGCTTCGGAGCTCATTAACTGTTTAATAATTGTAAACAAAGCCGCCAAAGAATGAGAAAAGATGCACAGGTTCGTAAGTGCTTGAGTAATCTGGTCAATTGAGTAATCTGATTCAGATTCGTGAATCTGGTCCCAGAACATAATGGAAGCCTGTCCAGTGTCTCCTCTCGCCTTCCCCTCTCCCCTCACTCACATTAAATACCACTTAGCAGGATGTATGGGGTTGTGGGGACGCCATACACACTCACCTAGTGGCCCGGTTACTCAACAATGTTGCAGAATGTTACCAACAACACTACAATAGCAAGCGGTCAAATAACTCCAATTAGTTGATGAGTTAAGGACTGGAACACTCTCATAGATGAGTGACTGGTGGGATTTGTTGCTGGATAAGCCATGACTTGTGTTGAGTATTAATAAGGATTAGTTTGATGATTTCTTATGCAGAAGGGTTCAGAGATGCTGTGAGTATGTGAAATAATGCGTGTGTATTCATCTAGTTGAGCTCACTTGGTTGTGCTTGCAGGAGTTAAGCTCTGGCTCTTTGGTCCCGCCTTTCAAGCGTCAATCAGCTGATGTACAGGTTCCTGCGCCTGTTGAACTCAATCATATCAACATTTGAAGCTGTGTATGGAGTCAGTCTCCACCACATCACTGCCTAATGCATTTCATTTGTCAACCACTCTGAAACTAACAAAATTCTCTCTAACATCTCTATGGCTCATTTGGGCACTCAATTTCCACCTGTGTCCCCTAATGCATGTGGCCCTTGTGTTAAATAAACCGTCTTAATCTATCCTATTAATTCGTTTGAGAATCTTGAATGTTGTGATCATGTTAGCCCTCAAATTATATGACGGATGGTGTATAGCCAATCACAGATGGGAGTAGGGGCTTGGCGTCATTCCCCACAGAGCGGCAGTGCCCGTTCTCTGACATAGGCCTCAGTTATCACACAGATCTGGTCACGGACCTCGAGGGCGCTGGATAACTGCATACATTTATCTTCATTAAATATTTTATCATTTACATACATTTATGTATTTATTTATTTATTTATTCTATCTACATACATTTATTTATTAATTGATTCATTTATCATTTATTAAATGATATATTCATTTATACATTACAAACGTCTATCAATAAAGCCCTTGAAGCAACGACAGTGTGTATTCTCTCCAGTCCCAAACAAGGTCTAATCAACAACCAAGCAAGAACCTATACTGGAGCACCAGTGGGATTCAGATCTTTTGTTTTGTTCTGAGCAAGAAAGTAAAGTGCCCACACCGCCACGCCGTCACCTGTAAACAACAGTCACATCCACCCATGTCACCCACGCATCGTCACCCACCCATGTCACCCACGCATCGTCACCCACGCATCGTCACCCACGCATCGTCACCCATGCATCGTCACCCACGCACCGTCACCCACGCATCGTCACCCACGCATCGTCACCCACGCATCGTCACCCACGCACCGTCACCCACGCATCGTCACCCACGCATCGTCACCCACGCATCGTCACCCACGCACCGTCACCCACGCATCGTCACCCACGCACCGTCACCCACGCATCGTCACCCACGCACCGTCACCCAGGCACCGTCACCCACGCATCGTCACCCACGCACCGTCACCCAGGCACCGTCACCCACGCATCGTCACCCACGCACCGTCACCCACGCATCGTCACCCACGCATCGTCACCCAGGCACCGTCACCCACGCATCGTCAGTATTCACTAATATTGCACCAGTCCGGGGCTCTACCATCAACCACTGCTGTAGGTCAACGTGGTCAGACGTAAGGCGCGATATTTAGCAGTAATAACGTTATTTGGTCAGTGAGAGGAGAGTATACTTTCCGCACCTGCTGTGTTGAGTTTCCCGCGCCTGGTGGCCGCCCCAAGCAGCCTCGCCACCCACGACATGCTTCGTGTGTGTTCGTCTGTAATGTTCCAGCTAGCTCTATTGTCGTCCATCATCGTCTCCAGCTCCATTTTATTAGACAAACTGGCGTTAACCTGTGTTTGACTAGCGAGGCTACCAGCCCACTACCGCCACACACTGCTCCATCACTCTCCAGTGAACCTCTGCCTACACTCCTGCATAGCAACTGTGCTTCCTTCGCCATCATCGTCTCTGCAGTATCATCGGCTTTCTGACATCGTCCTCTCTACTGTGGGATCCACCTAAGTTTCGTTCGACCGCCGCAAGTCGGCCTGCTGTCGCCCCAAGGGTAAACAAACCATCCACGCTGCTCCTACTCACGACTTGACGCCGTGTTCGGGTTTGGCTACTGTTGAACTGCAAACACTGCAGTCCTGAGTTAGGGAATTGATGGATGAGGCTCACTGTGCCATATTTTAATAGTGATTTACATAATAATACTCACCATATCACATGCATTAACCTTCCAGTGACTTGGTAAATATTGGAGTTGATAGCCACTCCACACACACACAGCGTCCCTGTGTCATTTCAACATTTTCTGCTTTCAACAGCAATCCCATTGTGCGTTAATTGTGTTCCTAGAGTGTTATTAGTAAATTTGAAGTTCAGAGAAGTAAGAAATACTTGTTTTTCCAGGAGCACAATAGAATATTTTCATACATTGAAGTTTGTTTTCAGTATTAAAATTTATGTTATCTTCTAGTCATTTTAATAACTCTAGACTCCCATATTGCAAGTACCATAAACAAGTTGGTCACCACACTGCAGATTGTAGAACCCAGCAAAGGGCATCCCCACCTCCTAGCTCCCATGGTCAGTCTTGGCGAGGCGCACAGTGTTCAAGACAGTATCAGAACTCACGAAATTTCAATAATCAGCCCAGCTATAATACTCGGTCAGAGAACGCTGGAGCTCAGAATGTTCACTCAACGTCGACAGGGAAACCCCCAAAGCCACCCTTTAACCAATTCAGGTTAGCCACACCTAGTGCCCTCCCTGTGTACTCAGTAGCGACCCAAAATATATTTGGACACTTGACAGAGGAGGACACTGACAGTAGACCAGTTGTAGATGTTGACAGAACCACAATGAATTTGACCCAGATGAGACGCAGACATCCTAGGCAACATAAGTCACAAGTAGTAAATTGTACAGCCTCAAGTGATGGTCATATCTGCCATTGTTTATTGTAGAGTTTTAAAAGTCTGTGTCGACTCAGGTGGTAAGATCAATATTGTCAAGCCTTCAGCTCTTAGAGATATTGCAAGTAAGCACCGTGTTCAAGTAAGAAAGTCACCCATACCTTTTCTGAGTGATTTTTCAGGAAATAAAGTGCAAGTTAAGTGGGCACTTGACTTCCCACTCAAGTTAGAGGAAATCACACTGTCTTTAACATGCTAAATTGTTGACGGTATCCATTATCCTGGTGACATTCTCCTCTGTTTGTACACCATGACTGATGAAAATATTGCATTGTTTCCCCATCGCTGGAACACTAGTATCAAGGACCGCGTCATGCACTTCAGTTGCATGTGTCGACACGGATTATGAGTTCAACCTTCAAACAGATTATGTTAATTTTGTCGACACCCGACTTGTTAGCGTAGGTTTGTCAGATCCTTGTCGCAGTAGCATACCCGAGGAAACATGCACTCGATTGATGCATCGTAGTCGTGCAGTTGTTAAGGAGAGTGAGTATCACTCTTGTTAGGCGAGTGAGAGTGTCTCACTCGCCTAACAACTTCCATCTCTGAAGTCAGTGGTTCCACGGCTACTGACACTGTGCTGCATTCTCATTCTCTCAAGATAATAAGATTTAAGGTTCAGAGAGTGCCTGATAACAGAGTTATCGGATGTCATTGCAGAAAGTGATACGTGTAAAGTGAACGGTACGTTTGTTGAACCTTCCTGGCACACAGTGCAGAATGGTACCGTTACATTGTGTGTTGCCATCACTAGTAATGCCGACATCCATCTCCAGTCTGGCACCCATGTTGTAGATTTTGCCCATTGCTCGTTACTGGTGCGAGTGGTGGACGATGTCACCATGGATCATATTATATGTACACTCACACCAGGAGAACAGGGATCTCAGCCAGAGGTGCAAGCACGACACCTCAGTCCTACTGACTTCCCTGACTCTGTGGTTCAGCTTTTGGAAAATTTGAGCAGGAATAGAGCCGTTGTTGCTCTACCAGGAGAAAAGTTAAGTCACACTCCTCTTGTTAGACATAAAATTCCCCTTGAGTGAGGAACTACGCCTATTTATGTACCAGCTTACTGTCTACCCCATTCTCAGAGAGCAGAAGCCGATAGACTCATAGAGGAAATGTTACAGAGTTATGTAATTGAGTCGAGTAATTCGCCATGGAACGCTCCATTGATTCTTGTACCAAACTGAGCTGGGACACGGAGACCAATAATAGATTATCGGAGGCTTAACAGAGTAACAATGCCTGACAGTGTCCCACTTCCAGTCCTAAATGATTTGTTGCAAAACATAGATCAAAAGAAAGTATTCTCAATGTTAGAGTACTGGCAGGAGTACTGGCAAATCCCACTTGATGAGGAAAGTAAACAGTTTAAAGCCTTTAGTATTCTCAATGGCCATTTTCAGTTCAAAAGAATGACTTTTGGGCTGCAGAGTAGTCCAATTACCTTTTCAAGGCTCAAGATGAACATATTTCATAGATTGATAGGAAGTATTCTTCTAGTGTACCTTGATGATCTTGTAATCATGTCACAAAATGTTCAGACTCACTTCCAGAACTTTGAGACAGTACTTACAAAGCTTGCAGAAGCAAATTTAAAAATAGAACTCTCAAAGTGCTAATTTTTAAGGGAGAAGATTTATTTCCTAGGTCACACAGTCACCCGTTCAGGCATTATATATAATGAATAAAAAATTATTGCTGCCAGTGATTTTCCAACGCCTCGTACTGCAGAAGCCCTGAAACAGTTCACGGGTCTTGTAGGATTTTATTGCTAATTTATTGCTGGATTCTCTCTTATAGCCGCTCCACTTTACAAGTTGCAAAGGAAAGATGAACCCTTTGTTTGGGAAGACTCCCAAGAACAGTCATTCAAAAACCTCAAAGCAGCATTGATCTCGTCACCTGTCCTTAGGAACCCAGATTTCTCGAAACCTTTTATGTTGGTTACAGATGCTAGTGACAGGCTTAGGTGCTGCATTACTTCAAACAGAAGGTCACAGAGATCACGCAATAGCTTATGCTAGCCGTACATTATCTAAGGAAGAGAAAAATTATAATGCAACGGAATGAAGCTTTAGCAGTAGTATGGGCTCTTAAACATTTCAGGGATACAATTTATAATTACCCAGTTCATGTCCTTATAGATCACAACCATTAATTGCTTTGTCAAGAATAAGAATTCCACTGGAAAGTTTGCTAGATATTTACTCATAATTCAAGAGCTCAATCCCACATTTGGTTATATTCCAGGAAAGCAAAATGTTGTAGCCGATGCGTTTTCTCGACATTGCTGTAATTCAGTTAAATTACCCAGCATTAGACACTACAGTATTCCAGACGGAACATCGACAAGATCCCAAATGGGCACCTGTCATTAAGTTTTTGACTAAGCAAGATACTCATTAGATTCACAAACCTCCAGCACCATTGAAAGAACTAGTGATATTAGACAATTTTCTATGTAGAGTAGTAAAGCTAGAGACAGCCCCAAGGAAGTGTTGTCAGTTAATTGTTCCATCTGTCTTGGTACCAACTATGTTAAAGATCATCCATGATGCTCCCGCAAGTGCACATCCAGGTAGTACACCACAAATTAGAACATAGTCTTGCTCAGTAAAAACTCACGTATGGTAACAATATATTAATTGGAACAAAAGCATGGAGAACATAAGCATGTTTAATGATCCGGTATGAAGAATACAAGCTCAAAATGTATTGCTTAAAAAATTGTCAACATCTTGTGTCGTTGCAACCCGTTCTCGCAAATTTAATAAGTCAATATTGACTTATTAAATATGTGCATAGGTGACATACTTAACATAATAGTTTCCCTTGAAAAGCTTCATAGAAAACACCGACCTTACGTAACCTACTTAGTATGTTAAGATAAGCATCTTATTGCTTCGTAATTACAATTATTACCTAACCTATACCTATAATAGGTTAAGTAACAATTGTAATTACGAAGCTATAAGATGCTTATTTTAACATACTAAGTAGGTTAGGTAAGGTCGGTGTTTTCTATGAAGCTTTTCAAGGGAAACTATTATGTTTAGTATGTCACCTATGCACGCAACTAATAAGTCAATATTGACTTATTAAATTTGCGAGAACGGGTTGGTCAATGACATGTGCTTGGAACATGACAATTATGTGAACTCAATGGAACAAGAGTCATGGCTTAACAACCACAGTGAATGTAAAACTTGATAACAAAAAACAATTAAGGACGTGTACATATTTATATTTACACAATACTTACAAGGACGTGACCAAGAAGGCTACGTGACACGAGTCACGTATGGTGTCAGCCTTGGTGACAGTAGTCACGTATGGTGTCAACCTTGGTGACAGGAGTCACGTATGGTGTCAGCCTTGGTGACAGGAGTCACGTATGGTGTCAGCCTTGGTGACAGGAGTCACGTATGGTGTCAGCCTTGGTGACAGGAGTCCCGTATGGTGTCAGCCTTGGTGACAGGAGTCACGTATGGTGTCAGCCTTGGTGACAGGAGTCACGTATGGTGTCAACCTTGGTGACAGGAGTCACGTATGGTGTCAACCTTGGTGACACGAGTCACGTATGGTGTCAACCTTGGTGACAGGAGTCACGTATGGTGTCAACCTTGGTGACACGAGTCACGTATGGTGTCAACCTTGGTGACAGGAGTCACGTATGGTGTCAACCTTGGTGACAGGAGTCACGTATGGTGTCAACCTTGGTGACAGGAGTCACGTATGGTGTCAACCTTGGTGACAGGAGTCACGTATGGTGTCAACCTTGGTGACAGGAGTCACGTATGGTGTCAACCTTGTTGACAGGAGTCACGTATGGTGTCAACCTTGGTGACACGAGTCACGTATGGTGTCAACCTTGGTGACAGGAGTCACGTATGGTGTCAACCTTGGTGACAGGAGTCACGTATGGTGTCAACCTTGGTCACACGAGTCACGTATGGTGTCAACCTTGGTGACAGGAGTCACGTATGGTGTCAACCTTGGTGACAGGAGTCACGTATGGTGTCAACCTTGGTGACAGGAGTCACGTATGGTGTCAACCTTGGTGACAGGAGTCACGTATGGTGTCAACCTTGGTGACAGGAGTCACGTATGGTGTCAACCTTGGTGACAGGAGTCACGTATGGTGTCAACCTTGGTGACAGGAGTCACGTATGGTGTCAACCTTGGTGACAGTGTCAGTCAGTCAACTCTGAGCTGACACAAGGAGTAAGTAAGGTGTGGGGCTCGGGGCACAGGTGTGGGGCTCGGGGCACAGGTGTGGGGCTCGGGTTACAGGTGTGGGGCTCGGGTTACAGGTGTGGGGCTCTGGGCACAGGTGTGGGGCTTGGGGAACAGGTTTGGAGACGAGCAGAGAGAGAAGAGGACCATCAAGGGCCAGGGAGTTCAGGCGAGCGTGAAATTGTTGAACAAATGGCTTGATTCAGCACAGAGGAAGGAGCCATGTTGTATGTGTATGTCCTGGGGCGTGAGTACTTACCTAATTGTACTTACCTAATTTCTGCTTGCTGGGGTTGATCTCCGTCTCTTTAGTCCCGCCTCTCAACCGTCAATCAACAGGTATACAGGTTCCAGAGCCTATTGGGCTCTATCATATCTACACTTGAAGCTGTGCTTGGAGTCAGCCTCCACCACATCACTTCCAAATGCATTCCATTTGTCGACTACTCTGACACTGAAAATATTCTTTCTAACGTCTCTATGGCTCATTTGTGCACTCATTTTCCACCTTTGTCCCCTAGTGCGTGTGCCCCTTGTGTTAAAGTCTGTCTTTATTTACCCTATCAATTCCTCTGAGAATCTTGCATGTGGTGATCATATCCCCTCTAACTCTTCTGTCTCCCAGTGACGTGAGGTTTAATTCCCGTAGTCTTTCCTCGTAGCTTAAACCCCTCAGTTCTGGTACTAGTCTGGTGGCAAACCTTTGAACCTTTTCCAGTTTAGTCTTATGCTTGACTAGATATGGACTCCATGCTGGAGCCGCATACTCCAGGATTGGTCTGACATATGTGGTATATAATGTTCTGAAAGATTCCTTACACAAGTTTCTAAAGGCCGTTCTTAAGTTAGCCAACCTGGCATATGCTGCTGATGTTATCCTCTTGATATGAGCTTCAGGGGACAGGTCTGGCGTGATATCAACCCCCAGGTCTTTCTCTCCCTCTACTCTTG